AACATAGCTGACCTACTGCTTGATGGCAGTATATCTGGTCAAAGGGCACAGTCTTTGTTCCAAGATGCACATTCTGCTGCAGCCACAGGAGTTGGAGACTTGGCAACCCCTACTAGCTGTCCTGGCAATTCTTTGCGAAATTTGCCAAGCAGACCTGTTAAGGGTAGCAAATGGAATCCACCTATGGAAGTGCAAGTGCCATTGGAGAACCTGAAGACTCATGCTGCTTATGAGCAGCCACTGTACATGATGATGCCACACACTGACTGTTTTGAACAAGAAATTCTGCGCTCCTGCTAGCTTCGACAAAATTTTGGAATATATTTCTTGGCTCTCTTGATTCAAGATGCATTTCCTTCTTCTGATCCAAATGGAAAAGCAATCACAGGGCCTGTCTGGAGGAAGAAAAGAATTGGTCAGCCTTTGGGCTGTTATGCCATTTTTGGCAGAGATTCGAGGAGATTGGGAATGCTATAAGGATGTTTTCGGGCTCTCTGTCGACATTCCAAATTGATTGGCTGCATGTGGTACTGCAGATTTTGCTAGCAATCTCATGTGCCATGTTCTAGACCGGTTTCTAGGAGCCACCCCCAAGCAGCAGTGCAATTCTATGCGCAGAAGCATTGTAGATTTCTACAGGAGGACTGCTCAAGGCAATGAACTCAATGCCTTGACACCTGGAATGAAAGAGTCCAAGAAAGGAGGCCAAAGCAAGCGCCAGCGCTGGAGAAATGAGAAGTGTTATTCCTTGAGCTGGCAGAGAAAATTTTGAAGAAGGAGGACTCTTGGGAGAACACTGTCCTCCAGGCCCCTCATTTGCTTTTGGCAAATGTACGATTGTTTATCACGAAATTCATTTTGCCAAGCTACCTTCAAGGAACCTAGAAAGTTCCTGCTTCTTTATCTGGCTCTGGAACAGAGCAGTCCTGCAGGGCTGTGGAAGTTCAAGCCTAAATTCCATTTGCTGCAAGAGTTGGCAGAGTTTGACCAAGTTATTCCTTCTTTGTCTCGGACCTACAGGGATGAAGACTGGGGGGATCTGTGGCAGCTGCCTCTAAAAGGAGAGGGGGCGCCAACTCTGCTCATAGTACTTCTTGGAATGTCTTGACGAAATCCAGAGCTCAGAACTTGGTGCCCAAGTGGCCCATCCAGAGGTGAAACTCATTTGTTGATCAGCGACCTGGGTTTCAGGGCACCAGTTGTTCTTGTTGCCCAATCCTTGATGTTTTGCATTAGGATTTTTGCCAGTCTTTTGGAAATCCTTTGAAGGATTGCTGGAACCTTCCTCAAGACTTTCTTTTGCCTATGAAGAAATTTTTCAATCCTGTGAAGGATGTTCGAATCCTGTGAAGGATTCACTTCAATTTTTGATGAAAACAACAACATCTAGACACTTTAAAAAGACACCGAAAAAGACACCTTAAATTAGCGAGTCTAGATTCCTTAAATTTTGTTATATCAGACTCCTTAAATAAGGGGTCCAACTAAATAAAGGTTCTAGGAGGCGCAGCCACCTCCAAGGTCACTGACACCCGATGAGAATTTTGTCTCCACCAGGTTCTTCAAGAGTTGAGTTTTCTCAACACCACCACCAGGTTGGTAAGTGACGCGAAGGTGGTCCGAAATGCGCACCACTGACAGCTGCCTCCCCGCCACCAAATCTCGTTGAAGTTGATCCGGCAGCGCTCCAACCTGCATGGCGATCCCACGCTGTTCAATCCTCCGAAACGCCGGCTCCGCCAACACCTCGGCTTCATCCTAAGTCGCTAGCGCTCCTGCGCAACTGCAAGCGACTCCATGGTCAGCCTCAGTCCCAAAGAGGATGGACGGACGCGCCTTCCCCTCTCATGCGGGGAGTGGAGGCGACTCCAGGTTGCGAAGGTGCTCCGTCAGTCGTCATTGATGCTTGAGAAGATCTGGTGACTCGACGCACTCCTTGGCCAAGGTTTGGATCGCTGTGGGATATAGGTATTTGGTGGATGTAGTTGAAGAGCCACATACGCACACTGGACGTCTCTAGAGCGATCTTCATCTCCCTCTCAAAGCGCTCCTCCTCAAACTTCTTGCCTGGGGTGTTTCAATCTCATCCGGCGCTGGCGATGACGGTTGCTGGTCCTGCGTAGCGCTCCCACTGGCTATGGCCATGTAGAGCTCCCAAACCCACAACATGCCCTCCAAGGTCATTTTGATTTCTACCTCTACCAGGCGTTCCAGTATTTCGCGCCGATCGAAGACCGATTCCCCAATATTGGACATCGCCGGACGGTGGCCGCAGTCACTGCCCCTTGGCCTTGACCAGGTCGAAGCGAAACTTCGCGGGGCGTCATCGCGCGCCACCAATGCCAATTCCAGTCTTCGAGGACCAGCGCCAGCCGATCATGTGTCCTTCACCATCATCTCGTCGATCAGCCCGAGCTTCCAGGCGCCGCCTATAGGCATAGTGCTCAGCGCATCCGCTCGGGCTTATGCATCACCTGAATATAGACAAACTAGTGAGTCGTCCCAGCAGCGATTCACAGAAACATGTGAAAGGGATTGGACTGTTATTGATCTATCTTCGGCCGCTCGCGCAGCTTGTCGAAGCAGATGCCAAGCTATCTGAGCTTCTGCCAGCAAGGAAGCTTAAAAAGTTAAAGGCTGAAGTGTTTCTTAGTTTTGTTGCGCCTAGTCGTGGTTGTCAACAGTGATTGATCAATGGCCTCATGTGCACGTTTGACTTCTCCTGGGTTGTTGAGGCTACAAAGTGCCGTTCTGAGGCCACAGCCGGCGACGGTTTGTTGCACACTTTGGCAACGTCTGTTCAACGCCCACCTTCATTTTCGACGACGGTTACACCCTTTGGCAGGCTTGATTTTCGACGACAGTTGCACACTTTGGCAACGTCTACAACGATCCTCGACGTCAGTTACACACTCTGGCACCTTCTACCTTGATTGTCGTCGACAGTGACACAATTTGGCTTCACGTTTCACCGCGCGTTTGAGCACTCAACGTGCGCGATTGCCGCAAAGGGTTCACCAAGGCCAAAGTACCACAGTTTAATGCATGATTTCCACAAACGGTCCCCTCCGCTGCCTCAATTTGAGGGTTCGAAGGATGTCGAAGTTGTAGGGGATTGGTGGGCGTTTTCACCTGTACGTCGGTGCCTGTATCCAAACACCTGCTGTATCTATGCAGGTGTGCTATAGAACAAGCACATCACCTGCATCTCTGTACCTGCAGCCTGCAGGATGATGAGCTGGTTGGTGGTGGTGGTGGTGGTGATGATGATGTAGGTGTTGTGTCGCAGTTACATCAACCCTGCATCTTTACACCTTGATGAGGAAGGTGGTGATGATGATGGTGATGATAAAAATGATGTGATGATGATGATGATGACGATGATGATGATGATGGAGGTGTGTGGTATAGCGGCTGCATCACCTGCATCTCTACATCTGGATGTTTGATGAAGAAGATGATGATGATGATGGTGGGGATTACGACAAGAAAAAATGATAATGACGATTTTGATGACGACGATGAATTCGTGATGATGATGATGGTTGGTTGGACACTTGAAATTGGCCACCTTTATTTTCGGAGAACCCTTCGCAGGTGCTTTCGGGAAAAACACACACGACACACATCACCAGGTTCCGTTCGTTTCTGCGTCGGCGGCACTGTTGAGGACCCTAGCGCCGCTGCCGAAACTGCAGCGGAGCGCGCAGAGACCAGGACCATTGTGCTTCGAAACAAGTTGGAGGCGGGTCGTAAGCACTGCGAGACCTCACGCAATAGTTTTTGCTCGTGAGGCTCAACTCCGTGCAAAATTGGTCAATGCAATACCCATGGAATGAAAGACAATAATATCAATATCTCATGGCACATATTTAGCCGCCAATGCCTAGTTATTTTTTCATCTACGTATGTACAAATATGTTGTTTTATCTTCTAATGCGTTTCTCCAACACCTCTTTAAACGGATACGCATGCGAAGTTGTTCCCCACATTTCTCCACATCTTTGTGTGGGCTTTGCAGCCCTTCTCCTCCTCCGCCTCCACCTTCCGCTCATTCCCGCACGCACGGACAGATGCGACGCGCGCACGGGATGATTGGTGGTGTCGACAAGGCTTCATGTCACATTGTTGCATCTAGTGCGTTGCACACAGCATGGCGAAATACATTCGCGACGTCCCTGCGCCATGCGGTTTGGTGAGGCCTTAGTGGAAACTGTGTTTGCGTGGCTCTGCCCGGCAAAGACAGAGTTGTTGAATTTGTTTTATATTGTGCGATGTTTTCGGACCACTCTGTTCATCATCCGTGTCCACTCGCGCACCGGTACCAAGGGAGGACACTATATATAGAGTGTATGTTGCTTTATCATATTTTATCTAGTTGGTATATAACTTGATGTTTTGTCGTCTCTGTCCTGTATCGTGGCCTTCTTTTTTTCATCAGGCTTACAATGCGCAACTCAGCTTTAATAGACCGGAAGCCCCCACATGTCAAGCTTGTGTTCATAGCAATCCGAAAACGAAACCAACAGACGAGGTTTGATAGCGGGTGACAAAGCTCCATGGCTGGCAAGTGTTCTTGGTTTCCGCTCATTAACTGGAAATGGGTTTTCAAAACATTCTTCAAGTTGTTGAAAAGTAAGGGTTTGTAGGCTGGGGCTTGAAGCCCTAACTACATCCATGTGCATGGTGTGGTTCATCAAAGTAGGTTGAGAACATGAGTCCGTGCCTTTCATTTCACTGGCTATGAACCCATGAACCCTTCCCCACGATTATTCCGTCCTCACCGATCCTCGCAATCAGCCTTTTCCTTTTTCTATTCTCCCAACTCGATCAACATTTCATTTTGCCAAACTTCAACTTTTGCAACCGACACTGTCGCCGATCAAATTGTATGCAAAAGGCCTAGACTATATATGAATATGAATATATATATATTGTTTTGTGTATATATAAGTATAACTGTGTGTATATAAAGATATGCAGCCGCAGCTTTGCCTTTTGCTTTGACTATTGATATTGGTCATGACTCATGACGATGAACGGTAAGCAGACAAGTAAAGACAAGGCCCTCAAGGAGCCGCTGGGGATCATTGGGAACACGCCATTTTGATCTCCCTGCTTATTTCCTCTATGAAATGGTGGGGTCAGCGCCATATCAAACATCTTAGGACATCATTTTATAGAGAATTGTGTGTGTGTGTGTGCAAGAGCTTGATGTTGCTTTTGTTGTTTCTTTTTAAGCACCATGATGTGGCATGAATGTGAGATGAAAAAAAACAACATGTGATGTTGTTGCCAACATGTATGAAAACATATGAAAACTAAATGAGGAAGGATGCGGCGGATGCGGAGAACTATTGAATGCCTAGAGGAAGAACTGTTTGCCTGGCGTGAAATCACCTGGCACGATTAGGAAACGCAAACCCAGCAGCACCCCTGCCTCTATAACCTACTGTATATATTATGGACCCCCAGCAAACCTATTTTACAGTTGTCACGCATGAATTCACTACCCTGTCGGCAAAAGGGACATTGGCTAATATACCCACACACGCCTCTCTAAAATTGGTGTCCTGACCCCTCCCAAGCATAATTTTGTAATTTGTTCACACTTCCAGTTCCTTTGCAGTCCTTTATCATCTTTCCCACCTGCAAGATTCAATCTTATGGTTTTTTCCTGGTTCATGTTTCTTCCCAAAATGGGTATCCTAACTTCTCCTCATCCTTTTTTAAGTTTCGTGCCTTCTACCCCTTGCCACACCTTACCCACCTGCCAGAGCTACTCTTCCAGGGTTCTTCCAGAGTGCTTCCCAGCCGTATTCCAGGGCCCTCCTAATGAATTAACCTGGCCCCATACCGGCCCTCCTAATGAATTAGCCTGACCCTATAAAATGGGTGTCCTGACCTCTCCTCACCCATTTTCTCAAAGGTTTCTTGCCATCTACTATCTTCCCTTCGCCACACCCTAACTACGTGCCTTCCTCCAGTGTGCTTCCCAGCCCTGTTCCAGGTCCTCCTAATGAATTAGTCTGGCCTGCCACCCAATACCTCTATAGAATGTGTGTTTTGACCTCTCCTCACCCATGTTTTAAACGTATCTTGCTTTTTGGAAAATGTATTAGGTCATGTCAGAAATGCATTTCCATCCTATGGCGTCCCCAGCATTTCAAGCCTTTCGGGGAATGAGTAGAAATAGTAAACGAATCATGGACAGAGGTGCTGGCAAATCATGATTCGATCCCTGCTTTTGGACCATGCATCATGTGGTTGAAATGTCAGAAATGCGTGTCCATCCTTTGGCATCCCCAGCATTTTAAGCACTGTTCCAGTGCCCTCCTAATGAATTTGTCTCGCCCTCCCACCCAATGCCTCTATAAAATGGGTGTCCTGACCTCTCCTCATCCATTGTTTTTGTTTCTTGCCATCTACCCCTTGCCACACCTTACCCACAACTGATGAGGAGGAGAGTTGTTTCTTCCTTTTTTGCTTCCGCTTTGGCTGTTGAATGCTGTTGATATTCAAGAAGTTTGACGATGTGACTTTTGTGTTGGAAAGTTTATGAGTGAAATATGATTTTTCCTGGAAGCTTTTGGGATGCTGGGTTACTAAGTCTGACACTAGACTTAGAGAGACTTAGGCTGAGAATATGAGCGCTCAGAAAAAGAAGAAACTATTTACTGCTTCAAATGGTACACTCATGCTTGGAAAATGGCCTCATGTAAGGTCATTTTAGGATTTTCCAATTTATCTCAGGTTTTTTTGATTTAGGCTACCCTGCAGGTTGGGACCACCATTTCATGTCTATAAAATGACTCTCAAGACCCCCCCTCCTGAATGGACAGGGTCTCGGAACGAAAGACGTCATTTGTTGGCTTAGCCGTATCATTCTCGTTTGCATTTGTTTTGACTGCAGTTTCATTGTGTTTCACTAAAGTGGTTGCTCCGGAACTAGCGTTACTGTTCTCGACATATTCATGATATTGATCTCATTTAGTGCAAGCAACTTTCACATTGCTTGACATTTCTTGAGCAACGGAGGCATCGCTTCGCGTCTCACAAACATCCAGCACCTGGCATCGCGCCTCATGAACATCCGACACCTCGCTTTGATCACAAACATCCGACATAATGCTGTACTGGTACAGGTAAGTCAAGATAGTCAAGACTGCATTGGTGTAAGACGGATTGCATCAGGATGGGCACCACATATTATCAACTTGCATGCACAAGTTGACTTACAGCGGTGACGCAAGCCCTCCGTTGTTCAAGTGCTTGCAACGATATTGCTGAAGGTGCAAACACACCGGTAGAGCTTTTTTGTGGCATGAACATTGTTGGGCCGGGCAAGATGAACAGAAGTGCTTCGTCCTCCCATGCTTTGAAGGCAGCTACATCTCAGTCACTACAATTGTCTAGAATTGTTTTTCGCATAGTTTGCCACAGCAAATTGCGAATTTCAAATGAACACCAATGTTTGGAAATCATTTGCTCCAAATCGCAGGTTTTGAACACCTTTTCAAAGACAACGCAAACGTTCACACTCAAAAAGCACAAAAATGCAGGCGGGGTGGTTGTTCACCGGGCAGGTTGTTCCTAGAAAAAGACTCGCTCAAGGAATGCTATATTGAACACATGCCAAAAGAAAGTGTGTATGTGTGTGTGTCAAATCCTGTTCCGACACGAGTTGGAACTCAAGCAGGAGCAGATGCCCATGTCATTTCTTTGCCAACTAAACTGGGAAAGGATACTAGTATAGACTGGGGACACCTGATCTATGCACCTGTCCACACCTTACGTACACCTCAAGTTGGTGCACTCTGGACCCCACTTGTCAAAGATGGATCTCACCTGGACAGCCCGCCATTGCATCATATCATACTGATGCAATTGTTCAATTCGACTCTCAGCTTATGAGTTTTTGATTCTTGCAAACCAATTGCTCAAAAAGATTTCACCAACTAAAAAAACTGAATTTAATTTAGTGCAACTGCAAACTTGCAATCCATTTTTCTGCTTATGCTGCGTGTGGAAGTCCCAGCCTCTTCCAGTACCACAGTCCGTGGATGGCGGTACCCTCACGCAATGGCAAAATGGCGATACAGTAGAAGACAAATATACAATTCAATTGTCAATTGCACATTGCCAAGCCATTCACTAGTCATTCATTCATTGTCAATGTCATGCCTTTTGGGTGTTGCGGAACTATGTAGCAGCAATCTAAATGCCTATCAAGATAGATGAGTGCCTGAAACGTTAGGCACCTTGAATTGTAGGGTCATCATCCACTATATAAGGGTTTC